TTTTTTTTTTTTTCTATTTTCTTCCTCCTTCTTCCTTTCCTTTTTTCTCGTCGTCGTCGTCGTCGTCGTCGTCGTTGTTGTTGCTGCTGCTTTCTCTTCTTTCATATTTCTTTTCTTTCCTTTTTATTTGTTCTTTTATTTTTTTTTTAGATTTTTTTTTGTCGTCGTTGTCTTTTTCGCGTTCGTTATTTTTTAAAAGAAGTAAAATCTGCTAGCAGCAGATATAAGATCTTGGATTTTAATTAAAATACAGTTGTTTGAATGTTGAATTGTTATTTGGTCGGGTATTATAAATGTCTGATTTCTTTTTTGTCGATATATTTTGATGTTTAAATAGTATTCGTAATTTTTAATAATTATTTCGAGTTCGCTTACCACCCCCCACCTCACGTTGATCAATTTTAAATGATCGACAGAAAATCGATAATAAAATTAAATGGAATTGAATGAAATGTTTTCGGTTTTATTTTGTTTTTTTTTTTTTTCTTTTTTTTTTCGTAAAGAGAAGGGTAAAAAATTAGAGATAGATATTTATTTGTTATTTAGTGTTATGTTGAAATGAATTGGGACGAATAATAATTGAATAAAATTACCTTGCATATATCAAGTATAACAGTAATTTTCCTTATTCCCAAGATGACGTTTCGATCGATACTGTGATACTTCGACGAACTTAAATGTTTTAACGTTGAAAGTATACTAAAACGTTATTCATTCTTGGAAATAAATATTAATCGGAGACTTACGTTATGATAAATAACGATTATCTACATTATCTTTTTAATTAACTTTCAAACGTAATAATCGTATAATCATCATTCAAAGATATACAATATTCATATCAACATATTATCTCTATGCAGAAAATAAAATAATACTTAGTCATTCGAGATAAAATAATAATACAAAAATAAAAGAAAAGAAAAAATTTGCTGTGCGTATTTATGTAAGAAGTTTTTATATTTCTTTTTGCGCAACACAACATTTGTTTACGCATGTGATTATATTTTTTTATATACATTTTTGTAACGACAATAGTAAATATAAAAAAAAAAGAAGATTGTATTAAAGATAGTAGTAAGTAAAAAAATAAATTTACATGTATACTGAGATACTGGTAGAAAATCTGCATACTCGCACATCCAAGAGATATTATATATAATAGTTGAATAAGAATTATTGTAGATCTTGACAAAAGAAGTATAACATTAAAAATATTATCGAAAATATCTAGATATTTTTTTTCTAGAAATTTATTATAATTCATATATCAAGAATAATAATAATATTGATATATTATATAATATATTTTAATTAACAATAATATATTATTAATTATTAATTATTAATATATTATTAATTAACAATAATATAATATTATTGATATAATTCATATATCAATAATAATATATATATATATATATATATAAATCGTTTATAAAATTGTGAAATAATATACGAGCATTATATCGAGAGTTTTGTAAAATTTGTCAAAAGATTATAGATATTATCGGATAGAAAGATGAAGTTCTTGTCGTCCGTGACGCGTTTTCCCTGCAAATGCCTTGGCTTTAAACATAGATTCGATGCCCTTAGGGCTTGCTTTGTTACAGTCCACAAACCTCTGATACCGGTGGCATACTTCAAGGTAGAATATGCCGAATACTTTCGGTATGAGAAGTAGCTAGCTATACGAGACCCTGAGAAGATCACATTCTCGCTTCCGACGAAGCTTACCTCGGCTTAACTCGTTTCGCGATCCTTAAAGCTACGGAATACCTACATAAGTATGCCGGGAAACACAATCACACATACTACAAACGTTTTAAATTTTACCCACGAAAATGTCACTGAACCATCCCACCTTTCAAGAAAATTCCTATCTTTCAATTACGTATACGTATTTTTATCTTACTTACAAATCTTATCTTATGCTTGTATAATTTCACAAATTAAAGATAACAGATATATATTTTTATTTTTATTGTATATCTATCAATTCTTTATTGATACATTTTAACAATTTGTAGCTAATCATTTTTTTCGATAAATCACACAGATAACATTGGATTAATTAAAACTTAATGATAAATAAATATTGATAAATAAATTCATTGAGAGTAATGATTTCGATTATTTTGATATCGATCGTTCGTTCGTTCGTTTATTTTTTTCTTTTTTAAATTTCGGAATTTACAAATCGCAAATCAGTGTTTAAATTTCGTTATAAAATCGAAGATAACGTTTGGGTTAGTCTCCTAGGTAGTGGAGAGATTACTCGAGCATGGGTTACGGAATAGCGAGTGCGATTTATATGACAGAGAAATCTAGTTAAACAGACTGGAAACGGTCTAAAGGCAGGGTCATAAATTACATCTCTATAGGTTATCGCTCAGGTTTATCGCGCGAAACCGCTGCTTTGCGTTTAAGACTTAGTCTCGAATTGCTTGAATTCTGGATTATGCATTGTGCATCCAATTCATTATGATTTTTCTCTCAAATTTTTTTTCTATTTTTTTTTTTCTTCTTTTCTTTTCTTTTTTTTTAAATTAATTTAAACTTGGTACGCTTATTTTGTCATATAGCTGATCAGTATGCGTAATATTTGATTAATATCATAATAATATTTTTAATAATCAATATACGATATTGTTAAATAATTTATTGAAAAATATTCACTTGAATAATTGAAATAATCGATACAAATTCGAACTACCCCTCACCCCCATCCCTCTTCTTACGTATTTTGGTATCATTATTAAAAATTTGATTAAGATAATTGATAGTATTTATATGATTTCAAAATATATGTTAGAATCGATAATATTTTTCTTTAATAATCCATCTAATAATATTTTACGTGACTAATATTACTTAATTTAATCGTTTATTATTAAGCTTCATTTATTATCGATCTTTTTTCCCAACATCATTGCATTCGCATGATGTGGTTGCTGTAAAAATATAATAACCGAGATAGAAATAAACCTTATTTTTTCCCTGCAATTACATCAATACCTTCTATCAGAGTGACTCATTGTTCGCTATGATAGCAACGACACGAATAATACAGGTTATTTTTATATTTTCTCGATGGAAGATTATACCATACGATGTATTTTCTTTTTTTCTTTTTAGCCAATTTCAAATAAACCAGCTTTGTTTGTAATTTAAAAAAAGAAAAAGAAAACAAAACCAAGTAAAATTAGATGGTTCCTTTTAAATTAATTTTTTATATAAAATACAATTAGATTACATTTAACGTTAATATTTGTCTTGTTCTTATCAATTGTGTGACATATATAGATAGTTATATGTGTGTGTGTGTATTGTAATGAAAGGAAGAGAAAGGGGGATAGCGATTTGGAATCGAAGCAAACGTTTATCTTTGGACGTTCTATGGGAGAAGATGAACCTAAACATAGTTGTCCAAGTTCGATAAGCTGCCGATGAGACGTCTTCATGGTCGAACTGGTTGCCTTCGCGAATTAAGCTCAGGACGGCAGCTAAAGTTCTCTTAGTGGCTGACCCGATCTCTAACTTCCA